CTACGATGTGATTTTCGTGTAGCAATGACATCAGATGAGCCTGTATTTTGGTCATTGTTTTTATTAGCTGAAGTCTGTCCTTGAGCAGCTTCACTGGAAACCACTAATGAAACACTCTCCTTCCTCTTTGAGAAAATTGCAGAAATAGACGACTTTTCCTGACCAGAAGAATGCATGGATTTGATAGTCCTTTTGGCACTGGAAGCCCTGATTCTAGTCTCCACAAAGGGCTGAGTATGATCGACAGAAGTTCATTTCATTGGTCAAGGCAAATTTAAGATCCAATGGTATACTAATTGCATCTAAATTTCATGTCTCAAGTACGTGATATCGAACAATCGATTATTGATGCAACAATTTATTAGCCTGATATATGAAACTAAACAGAGCAAGAAAAAGAAGATACAAGTGAGACCGCAGCTATAAATGGAAAAAAAGAACTCTAGAAGCTAGAAAGAAATGATGTAAAACCACAAATCAATCATAAGCATATACTAAATATTGCCCAGCATGCTGCATTTTGATGACAGTAGAAATCACAGATAAATATAAACATGGAGAATTTAAAGTTGGATCTTGACCGCCAATAACAAAGACACTTGATCTTAAAAAAAATTAGTACAAGGAGAATTGTCGGTTGCTTATGTAGATGACTAATTATATATAAGAATGACTCCAACAAGCAAGAAACTTGGATCCTGACAAAGATTAGCACAAGCAAGATTATTGGCTGCTCATAACGACAACTAATTATAGAAACATAACTCCAGTAAGGAGTCCTAAACAATATAAAGGAAAGAAGAATATCTTTGGGAATAACACGACATAATGGCACCTCATGGGAACATGAAGGAGGCTCAGATTAAAACCAGAAAAAGGGCTTACAGAATTCTTTTACTCCCAAAAAAAATAAAAGAAAAAAGAGAGAGATGTTTACTCAGTAGACTTACCCCACTTTCCAAATAAAATAGACATGCATGTGGAAAGAAATTGTTGTCTTGGAGCTAACAATTTCAAACAAATGAATGAGATTACTTCCAGTTTGATAAAAAATAATCTAGGAAGATTCTATTTTAGATTCATACATAAATCAGAAATTTATTTTATTGTCACTCAATTCCTAAATCTTAGTTATTTGATAGGTTAAAATTAGTCATAAATAAATTTAATGCACAACAAAATCAACTTTGTTCATATTCTAAATTTCACAACCATGGATTTGTACTCCCACCTATTAAGGAAGGAATCAGACAAACACTTAAAGACATGGAATTGACTTTGAATTGGAATCCTATTTTCGTTCAAATTTAATCATGTGTATCATATACTCATTCGTATTCTATAAAATTAGAATTTAAATCAAATTTGACAATAGTATTCTAGAAACCAAATTCTTACATAAGCATATAAATAAACTATTTAATTAAGAAATGACAATTACTCAATTTAGTCTCTGAAGTATAGTCAGTGTTACATTTTAGTTTTAAATTTTTTTTTCATTACAACTTAATTATGAATTTTTAAACTTATTTTAAATACCTATGCTAAATTTTGAATAAAAAAATTTGATCTGGCTTAGAACTTATTTGGAGGATTTTAATTTGTTTTTATCCATAATTTTTTTAATTAGCATTTAATTTTTTCTTGTTGACATTAAAATTTAACATATCAAATTTGCTTTTTGTTAGTCACTTTTTAACTATTTCCATGATCCATTACTTTTTTCCTCCAAACTAATCCTAAGCCATATCTGATTTTTCTATGCAAATTTTAACAGTATTTGGCTTTTGACACAATTTTAAAATTTGCAATTAATGTGTAAGAGAAGAACACTTAAAACTAAAATGTAGTATTGTGTATACTTCAGAAACTAAATTGGGTATTTGCCTAATAAGAAAACATAACTTTCAATCAGCTTTCAAAACAAGCTAGGTCGAAGAAATTCAAAAAGAGTATTAGGAAATTAAAAAAATATTATAAAAAAGATGGTAGCATCCTAAAATCAGATGAAATCAGAGAATTTTATTGAATTCTCAAAGATACCATCATGTTATCACCAGTAATAACTTCTTTTGAGAAGGGTATGACTGATAATAACAAATAAAGAAATTACTCATAATATTAATCTCCAGATATCATAGAAACTTTTGATATGTGTCAAGATGCCAAGAGGAAATAAAGTAGATATGGAATAAGGTTATTTTTAATTTCCGTTACAAGAATATATCCATTAGGGATAGGAATGTTCCTGCTTTCTGCATTCAGTACAACAGCTGTCATCATATCAATGCTGAGTTGGTTACACTAGCTGCTGACTTGCATTCCCTAGTGTTTATACCTTAAGGCTATAAGGAAAAGGAGACAGATTAGTAATATCATTTTAACTCTATTTTCCATAATCCCGTTCTCTCTACTTTCTCTATTCTCTATTGTCTACATTCTACCTCTTCCGCTCCTCTCCCCTTCCCTGCTACATTCTGAACCCTTAATTATCCACCTAAACCTTAACCATAACTTGCATTCTAAAAATCTTCCCTGGCTGTGAATGAGTCAGGATCCCGATAATATGTTTCTTGTAATTTGAAAAAATAAATAAACAAATAAAGACCAAAGCTAGATGGAAGAATTTCAACAAAAGAATTAGAGAATCACAAAAATTAAGAAAAAGATAGCAGCACCCTAAAATCAAACAAAATCATATAATTCTACTAAATCCTTAAAGGCACCATCATGTTATCACTTACAACAACTTTTTAGAGAAGGATATCCCCGATGATAATAAGTAAAGAAATTATCAGAATATTAATCTCCATGTATCATAGAACCTCCTGTCATAAGTTTCTTCTATTTGAAAAGATAATAAATAAAAAGGACCAAAGAAAGATAAAAGGTTTTCCCTTTAAATACGAAAGTTCTTATTAACAATGTCCCTCTTTACTATTGGTCCTATATTATCAACAAGTATCATATGTATAATATAAAACACATTGTATGTTGAGAGTTGCTAATCCACGAACATTTGCAAAATAGTCAAAAAGACATCCCTAAAAGAATCCCTTAGCCTTAGCTCTAACAAAACTATTCTTTCCCAGAGAAAAGATGGAAGGAAGTAACAATTTTTGAAGAGTTAACCATGGCAATCCAACCACAACATGTGTAAACCAGTGAAAAGGACTTTCTAGAATCACTAACTATTCAACCTCAATCAACATAAATAACCATGTTGGCCACACAAAAAACCAAAACTTCTTTGGTGACATTAGAAAAAAGAAGAATGCTACCACTTATGAGACATTTGTACTTGACAGCTTCACTTCTTCTCTGGTCCCTTTCTAACTTAAGAAACCATAGTTGTGCATCTCCTTCCAAATAGGAAGCAATCAACCCAAGTTTCTCTTCTTCATATGCATTGTGATGAAAAAAGTGTTAATATGGGTTCAACCATCCCAAAGGATCTATACAGTTCCATCACAGTTTGAGAATTCCAATTTTGAGCTTTTCTTTCCTCTTTTCTCAGACAAGGTCGGGGATAGAGCTCAAACTCAATTCATCAACAATTCAATGAGATATTCTGTGTCTTATCTTCCCAATATAATTTTATAAAAATCTTAAATTTTTTTTGAAATAATTGTAGATCACCCGTAATCACTTACTTTGATATTAAGTTGGTACTCTCCTGCCCTCTAGATGTAAATTATAAGACCTTGTAAATTAAGTTCATATTGGGGAACACCATAATCTCTTGGTTTCTTCTCCTTTGGTGCCCTGTTGTGACTTAAAAAGCTTGGACATGTTAAAGAGAACCCAACTATCTCCAAAGGTGGAAGATGGAGCTTTCCGAAATTCTTTTTCGTACTTTATTAATTTCAGTACAACTTTTTATGGCTTACAACAAAAACACACTAATTGACACGTGATACAATTGATAATAGATAAGGAAATAAAATGATAAGTAAAAGAGATACAAGAGATACCCACAAGCAAATTGACATAATATGCATAGCTATAATTGGGCATTTAATTTAAAAATAAACCTGAACAAATCATGTAACAAATCAAATCTGTAATTATTTTGTAATTGCTTAGCCCAGTGCCCTTACAATTTTAAACCACACTAGCATCTTAACTGTCATGTGCCTCCTCAAGCCTAGATTGCGATCCTAATGGAAGTTTGAAGACCAAAACCTAATGAAGTAGCATTCGTTGGTTTGGCATGAATAGGTAAACATTCTTTTAAAAGTTTGTATGTCAATGAAAGATTACAGAATCTTTTACTCTATTGGACAACTTTGTAATTTTGCAAACAACCCCATAATTCTTTGAATTTTACATATAGGGTAAATGCATATCCAGCACTCACCCGACAAGGATTATCATAAATGCATTAACCGTGTAGATTAGCATAGAGAGCATCTTTTAAGACACCGATACGAGCTTGATTATGTATAAGTATTTTAGTACTTCCTCTCCATCCATAAGGTATAACACATCATATGTAATTGGAAAAATTACGGTAGCAGTTGGTAAATTAAAAATCTCCCTATTGAATAGGTGGTAGTGACATTTGAATTGGAAGTTCCATGATATCTTCCTCAGTAGTCAGGGTGAAACTGGAAACCTGGGTGTTGTGTCTGACAGATAGGTTATATAGCTAAAGAAATCTGGTAGCCAACAGTTGAACTCCCACCCAAGTGTCTTCCTAAAACAACACTCCAGATCCATCCCCTACATGGACTAAGGTGCATATCACAAACAAAGAATCGACTTCAGGGATTCCAAGGATTTTAGTGAGTAGTGGAACTTCCTATTGTCTTGTCCACTCCCATAGATGTTGTTTATCACCTTGTGCCACAAAAAGTTTGGTTCATGTGAGAAGTGCCATAATCATTTAATCAACAATGGTAAGTTCTTTGATCTAAGATTTCCAATGCCAACTCCCCTGAACTCCTGCAATGACAACACACTTCTCACTTCACCAAGTGATCCATATTCTCCTTCCCCGCTCCTACTCATAAAAATTTCTTATGTGGCCTTCTAATCTTTCAAATACCCCAGTGATAATCCTAAAAATAAAAAATAAAGGAGCATGCTAGAGAGACAAGCTTGGATCAAGGTAATGCTTCATGCTGTCCAGTGTTATAATTTGAAAATCACCAAATGCTGCCTATATGATGAATTGTAATGAAGTTTTACTAAATTACTAGAC